CAGCGGATCCACTGAAGGCGTGTCGCGGAAGAGGAGATTGAATGAAATGAAACTCAAGATAAACGCTCCGCACGAAGAGAGGAAGAAGATTGTCTTAAAGAGTAATATTTACACACATTTGTGAAGCAATTTATATTTGTCTTATTTAACACGTGTAGAACGAGATCAGGACTACTTTGAAGTACTTCCCGAAGGCTGGTTAGAGGTGACACACTTCAGGTGAGTCTTGGATTTGGAAATGCATTTGAATTGATTGATTGCTTAACCCATTGATTGTTACCATAATTAGCGGAATGCCTATATATCTCCACAAACAGACAAGAGTTTGCACCACAACTAAGCCATACTATTTGGGTCCCGGGTCTGCCAGAGTATGCTATCGTTTGTATTGTTATTATTGTGTGATTTACTTGTATTTTACTAATTGTTTGAATGAATTAAAGAAACACGAGATACCCATCTCTGCCATCCCTTGCCTTCAATACAAGAAAGAACTGGAAAAAGACCGGATGGAAGAGGAGAAGAGCAAAGAAGTGACCGCTGATGGCAATTCTGGCGAATGTATTTACAATTGAACACATTATTGGGTCACTTATTAGATATAATATTTTTATGAATAACATTTTAGGCAACGCTTTACTCGCGAAAGTGGAAACTGTGAGCGAAAACAAAAAGGAGAAGTCATTGGATTACATGTCTGTCAGGAATTATTGTCAGAATTTATTTGAATTTCAAACCATAACTATTCGCAAATTCAAGTGAGTCTTTAAATCTATAGAAATTAATTTGTTATTGAAGTGAAATTTAATGAATGATATCTCTGACGGATGCAGAACGTGGGCCGACCGTAGAAAACATACACAACTCCGAAAAATACAACAAAGACCTTCACTTCCCGACGGAACTAAACTTATCACTTGTCCGCTACCGAAGGCGGCCAATACTGGAGAGTCTACCGCTGGAAGGAGTTATCGGAAAGGTTTGCATCAAATAGTTTTCATTTTACAATGAAATGAATGTTTATGAATATTGTGTTTGAATAGAGTTTGTGATGAATCCGGCCGGAAAGTCGTTTGTCTGTATTCTTCATGAGTTTGTTCAACACGCAGAACGAGTTCAGCCGAAGTATACATTCCAAGAATTGGGTATTTATTAGCAATTACTAACAATTTGATGGCAAACAATAGCTGACAATGAATATAATATATGTGTTGACAGAAAACGCGAGTCAGCCCTACAGCGCAACTGTTATTATCAATGGTATGGAATACGGGAAGGGATTTGGAAGCAGTAAAAAACAGGCCAAATCTGAAGCAGGTATTGAAGCCTTATTAAACATATACTGTATTACTAATAATATATTACTTTTAATCCAAAGCGAGAGCGAGTCTTGAGATACTTATTCCTGATCTTAAAGAGATTACTGACGGCGGGAATCGCAAACTCGATCCTTCGCTTCACGACTTTAGCGTTCGTTTCCATTATAAATACCATTAATCGCTGTATATTTGCATTATATTGTTATTATATTAATGAATGCATTCATCTTATAGTTTTTCAATGACATCCTTATCGAAGACCCGCGAGTCAGTGATTTATGCGCCAAAGCGGGCCAACACTCTCCCTATCAGATACTAGTCGAGTGCCTTCGCAGGTATTATATTGTTTGACATAGTCTTATAGATGGCTTGTATGATATGTTGTGTTGTGTGTTAGGAATTGGGGAATGGGTGACACTGACATCGAAACTGATGTCCGTTTAGTCAAACACCAGAAGAATGAGTTTGTGATGAAAGTGGGGAAACACAGGGCTTCTGTCACCTGTAGGAACAAACGGGAGGGCAAACAGAGGGCCGCGCAGGCGATCCTCAAGTTATTGC